ACATCTATTAATGTTACAAACCCAAAAACACATTTTATGATAGTTGTGTTACTGTTTTCATTTCCTTAGCCCAATGTAGCTTTACTTCCACCCTCCTCCTTTGTATTGTTATTGGATATATTGCATTTCTACATCTTATAGGCCCAATAATACACTTTATGCACATTCTTTTATAAATTGCTCTTTAAATTTTTGCTTTAAAACTTTTGTAAATTGCTGTTTTAAGTGAAGGTTTGTAAAAAAGGAGAAAAAACACTTATACTGTGTTTTATAATTACAACTTTCCTCTTTAAGCCATAAAAGAGCCACAGATGAGGGGAATTTCACAGACGTCCCGATCTACCAGCTGTGGAGAGCCCGTGCAGTCCCGCCCACTCTGCTTAACAGCAATCTGTTTAATCCTCACAAGAACCCTCACAATTAGTCATTGTTAGCTCTGTTTTACAGATGGGACAATTGAACCTCAGAAAGGCCCTTAAACACGGATGGTAAGAGACTAAGTGAGCTTGGGGCCTACATCTTGGTGGGTTTTTTTGTTTTGTTTTGTGTTTTTTGAGATGGAGTCTGGTTCTGTCATCCAGGCTGGAGTGCAGTGGTGCAATCTCAACCTGCATCCTCCACTTCCCAGGTTCTAACGATTCTCCTGTTTCAGCCTCCCAAGTTGCTGGGATTACAGGTGTGTGCCACCACACACAGCTAATTTTCGTAATTTGAGTAGAGATAAGGTTTCACCATGTTGGCCAGGCTGATCTTGAACTCTTGACCTCAGGTGCTCCGCTGCCTTGGCCTCCCAAAGTGCTGAGATTACAGGCACTGCGCCCAGCCTACTGGGGCCTACATCTGTCAGACTCAGAGATCAATGCTCGTTCCACAGCATGACTTCTTTCCCTTTGTTCAACCAAGATACACAGGAATGTTCTCAAGAAAATTCTCCTAAGAGACTCAGACAAATAACACCCAGGCTTTCTGAGAAAAGGCTGATTCTCAGAAAAGATGATGCTATACCAGAACTACCTGGCTTATGTGGCTGCCCACTCAACATCCCCTGTGCCCCATGTGAGCATCGGAGGCAGCACACGTGTCCTGGGCACCTCATCAAGGTACCTGGCCTGGCACAACTGCTTCTCATATGGGCTGGGTGAAAGGTTGTTGCTTCCCCAGGGAGAGGTGGCAGGAGTAGAGCCAGGGGTTGGTAGAACTGATCCTCGAGGCCCACACAGATGTGGCCAAGGAGCTGCATAGGTGGGTGGGGGAGTCTATGTCTGGCTGGCCCCCAGGGCTAGCAGATGGACTCACATTATTGTGTGTCTTCCCAACTGCCCCCTTCCCCTGTCTTCAACCCGACGGCTTATCCTGTGCCTTCTGAACTTTGTCAGATCCTGGGCAGCAAAACAAGCAGCTTCCTCACCTCTCACAGCCTAATATCATACTCCTATTAATGTGGCCACAGCCCACAGGAGAACCTGGCATAATGAGGCTGTAAGGATAGTCAGGCAGTCAACAGAGAGAGATGTGGTCCAGGCCAGATGGAGCTGCTAGTAGTTCCTGCTTTCTTGGTCCTTCCCGCCCTGTCTTCCCATCCCTGCCCCTTTAAGCCTCATACTGACTGAACCCTCAACTAATGTTCGTTTTTTTAAATATGGAAAATACCACTTTGGGAAGCTGAGGTGGTTGGATCACCTGAAGTCAGGAGTTCGAGACCATCCTGGCCAACATGGTGAGCACGCTACTAAAAATACAAAAACTAGCTGGCTATGGTGGTAAGTGTTTGTAATTTCAGCTACTCAGTAGGCTGAGGCAGGAGAATCGCTTGAACCCAGGAGGTAGAGTTGGCAGTGAGCTGAGATCGCACTATCGCATTCCAGCCTAGGCAACAAGAGCAAAATTCTGTCTCAAAAAATAAACACATAAATAAATATGGAAAATATGTGGCCAGGCGTGATGGCTCATGCCTGTGATCCCAGCACTTTGGCAGGACAGATCATGAGTTTGAGATGAGCCAGGCCAACATGGTGAAACCCTGTCTCTACAAAAATACAAAAATTAGCTGGATGTGGTGGCATGCACTTGTAATCCCAACTGCTCAGGAGGCTGAGGTGGGAGAATCACCTGAGCCTAGGAGGCAGAGGTTGCAGTGAGCAGAGGTCATGCCATTGCACTCGTGACAGAGCGAGATCTTATCTAAAAAAAATTATATTTTTTAAAGTGGAAAATACATAAAATTTAAAAAAGGAAAAGAAAATCAAAGTAGCTGATGACCCTAGGCCAATCTTGCAGATACCATTTTGGTATCGATCCTACCTATCTGCTGTTACTTTAGACATATTTGGAGTGTGTTTTGATTGTTTTATAGACTGGGTCTGGATCTGTTGCCCAGGCAGGACTGCTGACACCATCATAGCTCACTGTAGCCTCCAACTCCTGGGCTCAAGTGATCTTCTTGCCTCAGTCTCCCACTTTGGAGTATTTTGATTAGCCATTCTATGGCTAATCTGGCCATATTCATTATACAATTTCAAATTCTACCTTTTCCAAGTTGACCTATGACTGGGCATAGTGGCTCACGCCTCTAATACCAGCATTTTGGCAGGCCAAAGTGGGCAGATCATGTGAGCTCACAAGTTTGAGACCAGCCTGGCCAACATGGTGAAACTCTGTCTTTACTAAAAATACAAAAATTAGCCTGGCGTGGTGGCATGGGCCTGTAGTCCCAAGCTATTCTGGAGACTGAAGCAGGAGAATTGCTTGAACCTAGGAGATAAAGGTTGCAGTGTCCAGCCTGGACAACAGAATGAGACTCCATCTCAAAAATAAATAAATAGGCTGGGCGTGGTGGCTCACTCTTGTATCCCAGCACTTTGGGAGGCTGAGGTAGGCAGATCACAAAGTCAGGAGATCGAGACCATCTTGACTAACATGGTAAAACCCATCTCTACTAAAAATACAAAAAGTTAGCCGGGCATGGTGGCATGTGCCTATAGTTCCAGTTACTTGGGAGGCTGAGGCAGGAGAATCGCTTGAAACTGGGAGGCAGAGGTTACAGTGAGCCGAGATGGCACTACTGCACTCCAGCCTGAGCGACAGAGCAAGACTCTGTCTCAAATAAATAAATAAATAAATAAATAAGTGGGTCTTGTTTTTTTTGTTTCTGGGTTTTTTGGTTAGAGACAAGGTCTTACTCTTGTCTTGACCTCCTGGGCTCAATTGATCCTCCTGCCTCAGCCTCCCGAGTAGCTGGGTCTACAGGAACGTACTACCACATCTGGCTGACTATTTAATTTTTTGTAAAGACAATGTCTCACTATGTTCTCCAGGCTGGTCTGTAACTCCTGGCCTCAAGTGGTCCTCCTGCCTTGGCCTCCTGAAGTGCTGGGATTACAGGCATGAGCCACTTCGAGTTAACATGTTAAGGTAGGGAAGAGTTAGGAGAGAGATTTCCTTTGTAGAGAGCTATTGCCTCGATGTGAGTTCTGACCCCACTTCTTTCCCCTCAAACCTGTGGACATGAGACCATGGGGAGGATGAGTGGTGCTTTCCACCACAGGAGATTCAACCAGCCAGAGCCTGACCCCACCCTGCCATCATGAGTGGGGCAGAAGCGGCTGCAATGGGACAGGCCACACCTCTGCTGGGGCAGGGCAAGGGATATTGGAGGTTTGCCCATGTAGACCCTGCAGGATGAATGGCAGAGGCACGGATTGGGGGTGTCACCTTGGGCCTTCCTTAGAGGGACATAGAGCCTAGGCAGCAATGATTGGGCAGTGAATGACACATTCCTTGGGACTGAGGAAGGGTCACAAGTATGGGAACTGTGGGAGAGGAGTCCCAAATACAGAGCAGCTCTGAAGAACTCAGAAAAATGATCACGAAAGAAGGTGGAGGCTTTAACCATCTGTCAGGCCTGTAGAGCAAGAGGCTGTGGGCCAAGAGAGAAGTCCCTATTCCCCTGCCTTTTCCCTCCCCAGCACAGAAGCCCATCAGACCCACAAAGATGGGCCAAGTCCCCAGACTTCAGGGGGACAAAGAGAGAGGAACCATCTTTTAATTTTTTTTGAGATGGAGTCTCACTCTGTCACCCAGGCTAGAGATCAGTGGCATGATCTCAGCTCACTGCAACCTCCGCCTCCCAGGTTCAAGCGATTTTCCTGCCTCAGACTTCCAAATAGCTGGGATTACAGGTATGCACCACCACGCCCAGCTAATTTTTGTATATATATTTTTTAGTAGAGACGGGTTGGGGGGTTCACCACATTGGCTACGCTGGTCCTGACCTCAGGTGATCTGCCCACCTCGGCTTCCCAAAGCGAAGGGATTACAGACATGAGCCACCATGCTGGGCCCCACTTACCTTTTATTGAAGATGGAACTAACCTCTCTTTGCTTTCACCTCCTGTGGCTCCAAACTTCAAACAGGATTTTTTTTTGCCTGGCCCACTCCTCCTCATCCTTTACTTAGAAGATTAGATCTTTCCCAGGGAGCCTTCCTTCCCACCACCTGGCCCTGGGCTCATTCATCAGGTGCCTTGTGGGCTCCCATATTATGGTTGCTTTCAGGTCCAAGTCCCCCAACTGGATTATGAACCTGCGAAGACAGCCAAGGGTCAGGATGTGTGAGAAAGGGCAGGGAAGAGGCTAGACAAGGCACCGGGAGCAGGGAGGCCTGACGCCCTGAAATCCACAGACAGGAAGCCTTGGCTGAAGGGCCAAGTAACCAGGCGTTCTACTTCAATCTTGGCACCCACTGTGTGCTTAGAGCTTGACTTACACATGTTCAGCTCTAAGCCATCGCACAGATGAGCAAACGGGCAGATTGCAGGCTGATCAGTTTGTCTGAAGAGCCAAGAGCATCAAGCATGACCTGTTGCCCAAGGCAGAGACAAGGCTGTGGGCTGGTCAGAAGCTAATTACAATTCCTCCCTCCCCGGTACTTTCTGGCAGAGATTAAGAGCAGATAAAAGTGTGCTCACACACGGTAGACACGGCTACCACTCCATCCACAGGTTGCCATCACTCCTGCCCACGGCAGGAGCTCTCTGGAGCATGAGGTGGATTCTGTGTTCAAGCCTCATCCTCTGCCTGATGACATGGACGGCCCTAGGTAAGACCCCTACCCCTTCCAGAGGGCTTCAGGCAAAACGGGCACAAGGGACACAGGGACAGCCCCCAGCTCAACCTCTCCTGAGGACAGCAGGACAGGAGCACTTAGACAAGGCCTGGGCAGATGGAGGGCAGGGTTTCAAGACACTAAATCATCTGCCAGCTGGGAGTCTGGACAAGTCCTTTAGCCTCTCTGAGCCTCAGGGCTTCTCTGCATTTCCTGCCTCCCAGGACCAGTGAAGGGGTCCGAGAACATGGCCACATCTTTCCTTCCTTCCCACCGCCTTCCTTTCTTCCATCCTTCTTTCCTTCTTCCAAGCAGGAGGGCTGCCTCTGCTCCCATCTCTGCTATATGAACCTCTTTACCACCTTCAGATTTCTCCCCAATAGCTTTCTTTTTAAAATGAAAGAAATACACTTTTTTACTGTGAATACAATACACTAACAAAAGTGTGCTGAGGTATAAGATGTATACATCAAGATGCGCACCTCTTCACTGTATAATTATGTCTATCATGCTAATTATATTTTATATATATAAGGTAACCATTATCTAGATCAAGATCTAGAACATTTCCAGTGGGTAAGGCATGGTAGCTCATGTCTGTAATTCCAGCACTTTGAGAGGCTGAGGTGGGAGGATCACTTGAGCCCAGGAGTTCAAGACCAGTCTGGGCAAATAGTGAGATCCAGCGTGGGTAAATAGTTAGACTCTGTCTCTATTTTAAAAAAACCTTTTTGGCTGGGTGAGGTGGCTCACACCTGTATTCCCAGCACTTTGGGAGGCCGAGGTGGGTAGATCACCTGAGGTTAGGAGATCAAGACCATCTTGACCAACATGGGGAAACCTTGTCTTTACTAAAATAGAAAAAAACTAGCCAGTCGTGGTATCGAGCACCTGTAGTCCCAGCTACTTGGGAGGCTGAGGCAGGGGAATCAGTTGAACCCAGGAGGCGGAGGTTGCAGTGAGCTGAGATCGTGCCACTGTACTTCAGCCTGGTAACAGAGCAAGACTCCCAGGTTCAAGTGATTCTCCCGGACTCAGCCTCCCATGTAGCTGGGACTACAGGCACACGCCACCATACCTGGCTAATTTTTGTATTTTTTTAGTAGAGATGGGTTTCACCATGTTATAGCTATCTCATTGGTTCTTGTTATATATACATTTTATATTGTGCTACAGAGCTTTCAAAATTATAGACCTGTATAAAAAGCCATCTACTGGGCCGGGTGCGGTGGCTCAGGCCTGTAATCCCAGCACTTTGGGAGGCCGAGACGGGTGGATCACGAGGTCAAGAGATCGAGACCATCCTGGTCAACATGGTGAAACCCCCTCTCTACTAAAAATGCAAAAAATTAGCTGGGCATGGTGGCGCATGCCTATAATCCCAGCTACTCAGGAGGCTGAGGCAGGAGAATTGCCTGAACCCAGGAGGCAGAGGTTGCGGTGAGCCGAGATCGCGCCATTGCACTCCAGCCTGGGTAACAAGAGCGAAACTCCGTCTCAAAAAAAAAAAAAAAGAAAGAAAGAAAACAAAAATGAGGTCAGATAATTTAAAGTGTTGGGCACAGTGCCAGGCTATAATGAAGGCCCAGTAAATGATAGCTGTTGGCTATTCCACCATAAGTGGACCCTGGATTCAGGGCAAATCCAGGTAATGGGTTAGTCCTTGGCCTCCTGACTCTATCCTATGAGACCGCAGGCTGGTCATGGGCCCCCTCTGGGTCTTTGGGTCTCCTCCAGCTTCTCCCAGAGCCAGTGGAGAAGCCCATGTGAAAGAGCTTTGTAAACTGCAGAGGCTGCACAAATGGGAGATTTGAGCTGGCCCTTGCCCCTGATGGCCTACCTCCATGCTTGGAGGGCCACCATTGCAGTCACTTCTTTGTGCCCAGATATTGCTTATGTAAGACCTATAGAGACCTGGGGCGTGGCAGAGAGGCATTTTGGTCACCTGCAACTGGGAGTGAGAAGGTGTGCTCTATTGCACTAATTCCATTCCAAAAACAAGTTGCATCAAAATCTGGAGAGTTTTGCAACCCTGAGATTCTCATTCAGAGAGTGTGGGGTGCGGCCAAGGAATATGTATTTTTTCAATGATCCTCCAGGTGATTCTGATGCACAGCCAGGTTCACTAATTACTTGGATCAGATCTGCTTCTGTCACTTTACAGAATAAGCTACTATCTCAAAAAAAGGATTGGAACACAGAACAATTTTTTTTTTGAGATGGAGTCTCCCTCTGTCACCCAGGCTGGAATGCAGTGGCTTAATCTCCACTCACCGCAACCTCCACCTCCCGAATTCAAGCAATTCTTCTGCCTCAGCCTCCCGAGTAGCTGGGATTACAGGCATGTGCCGCTGTGCCTGGCTAAATTTTTTTTTTTTTTTTGTATTTTTAGTAGAGATGGGGTTTCACCATGTTGGCCAAGCTGGTCTTGAACTCCTGACCTCCCAAAGTGCTGGGACTACAGGGGTGAGCCACTGCGCCCAGCCCAATTCAGTTTTGATAAAAGGAGGAGGGGGAGAAATGGACAAGGGCACTTCAGGAAGGGACAGTGGATGTGAGGCCACAACAACTCTTGGCAATAGAATTGGGCAGGATGACAGCCTGGAAGAGTAAGAAAAACGTATCCATGGAAAGTTGGATTCAACTTGACCTATTTCGTATCTATCCCAAGAGCTGGCTATGGTATGTTTGCTTGCACTGTGTATTTGTGCTTGTGTGTGCGTGTAATAAGTATCCCACAGATAGATTTGTTGTCACCTATGTACAACTGCACATGTATGCATATGTATGCATGTATATGGACATGCATTTTACTCTTCTGTTTCTGCATGTTTCTTGGGGTTTTTGTTTGTTTGATATGGAGTCTCACTTTGTCACCCAGACTGGAGTGCAGTGGTGGGATCTCAGCTCACTGCAACCTCCACCTCCCGGATTCAAGCAATTCTCCTGCCTCAGGCTCCCAAGTAGCTGGCATTACAGGCACCTGCCACCACATCTGGCTAATTTTTGTATTTTTAGTAGAGAGGGTTTCACCGTGTTGGCCAGGTTGGTCTCGAACTCCTGACCTCAAGTGATCTGCCTGCCTTGGGTTTCCAAAGTGCTGGGATTACAGGTGTGAGCCACTGCACATGGCCTTTTTCTGTATATTTCTTTGTAGATAAGCTGTGCTCACGTGTACCTATATACATAAATTTGCATGTAAATGTATTAGATGCAAGTATGCACATGAGTAAGAATGCACATATGTGTGTGTGATTTCTTCCCAGAAACATGCTTTGCTAATGCTAACAACAAAAACAGAGGTGTAGCTATATTAATATCAGACAAACAGAAATCAAAATACATAATGCATTTATTGACATTAAATGACACAGAGAAATAGCCCATATCATAGGCATAAACTTTTATTATTTATTTTATTTGACTTATTAATTAATTAATGTATTTATTTATTTATTTTTGAGCCGGAGTTTCGCTCTTGTTACCCAGGCTGCAGTGCAATGGTGCAATCTCAGCTCACTGCAACCTTTGCCTCCTGGGTTCAGGCAATTCTCCTGCCTCAGCCTCCCGAGTAAGTGGGATTACAGGCACGCGCCACCATGCCCAGCTAATTTTTGTATTTTTAGTAGAGACGGGGTTTCACCATGTTGACCAGGATGAGACTTATTTATTTTTTAGACAGAGTCTCACTCTGTCACCCAGGCTGGAGTGCAATGGCATGATCTCGGCTAACTGCAACCTCTACCTTCCAGGTTCAAGTGATTCTCCTGCCTCATCCTCCTGAGGTGCTGGGATTATAGGCACATGCCACCACACTCAGCTAATTTTTGTATTTTTAGTAGACATGGGGTTTCACCATGTTGGTCAGGCTGGTCTTAAACTCCTGACCTCGTGATCTGCCACCTTGGCCTCTCAAAGTTCTGGGATTACAGATGTGAGCCACCATGCCAGGCCAACAAGAACTTTTATGTATTTATCAACAGGGATTTGAAGTGCTAAATAAGGCCAGGTGCAGTGGCTCACACCTGTAATCCCAGCACTTTAGGAGGCCGAAGTGGGTGAATCACTTGAGGTCTGGAGTTCGAGACCAGCCTGGCCAACATAGTGAAACCCCATCTCTACTAAAAATACAAAAATTAGCTAGGCATGGTGGTGTGTGCCTGTAATCCCAGCTACTCAGGAGGCTGAGGCAGGAGAATTGCCTGAACCCAGGAGGCAGAGGTTGCGGTGAGCCGAGATCGCGCCATTGCACTCCAGCCTGGGTGATAGAGAGAGACTCCTTCTAAAGAAAATTTAAAAAATAAATGAAATGTTAAATGAGAGAAAAAAATCTGAGAGAAGCACAAGAAAAAGTGGACAGATACACAACGGCTATGATCAATTGTTATGAAAAGCAGCTGCTGCTGCCCATGATAGATGGGGCAGGGTCCCATTTGTGGCTGAGTGACTGAGCAGGGGTGACTCTTTACCTTTCTCTTCCCAGGTCCCTTGGTCCCATTTGTGGCTGAGTCAGGGTCCCATTTGTGGCTGAGTGGCTGAGCAGGGGTGACCCTTTGCCCTTCTCTTCCCAGGTGCCTTGCACACCAAGAAGCCTCAAGTGGTTACTAAATATGGAACCTTGCAAGGAAAACATATGTATGTGGAGAAGACACCCATCCAAGTCTTCTTAGGAGTGCCCTTCTCCAGACCTCCTCTAGGTGACGGCAGGTTTGCCCCTCCAGAACCCCTGGAGCCCTGGCAAGGAACCAGAGATGCTACCACCTACCCGCCTGCGTAAGAGCCAGAAGGCTGTCTGCTGGGAGGCGGGCAGTGGGCCCATGCCTGCATCTGGGTGGGGTTGTGAACTGTTCACTGAGAAGAACTCACCATGTGACCACAGGCAGGCCTGCGGCCCATTTGGGGCCTCAGTTTTCAGATCCATATCATGAGCGAGCTCATCCAGAGTGTTTAAGTCACTGACAATGCTATTGTTGGTTTCTTAGAGGAGAGGTCCAGGCAAGGGGGAGGCTGTCACTGACCGTGCCCCAGCACCTGCTGGGGAGCTGCGTTTTCCTAAATGTGTCTGAGGGGCAGTGTTCACTCACACACTATCCCCCTGACCCAGGTGGGGGCTCTTCCCTCTCTCTGGAGGCTTGAAAGCACGAAGCCCCGTGGCACCACCAGCCTGTCCCTGCAGAGGGTGCTCCACGGTGGGGAATGTACAGGCTCAGCCTCAGTTTACAAGTCCCAGGGTCTTGACACCACCTCAGCCAGGCTCAAGGCCTGAGTCACAAAAGCATAACTGGAACAGTGACTGCCCCTTGAAGCACTGGGCTTGGCGGTTTACCCAGAACAAGTGTATTTACTGCTTATTCAGACCATCGAGTAATCCACTGTCCAGAACATTCTGGGGCAATCATTAACAACGCTTAGCATAGGTTGGTTAAATCGCAGGGTTTAGAAAACTGTCTGAGAACCTGGGTATCAGCTGATACAAAAACATACAAATGTCTACCAAAATGCCGCCAGAAAAAAAATACAAGTGGCCAGGCGCGGGGGCTCACACCTGTAATCCCAGCACTTTGGGAGGCCGAGGCCAAGAGATTGAGACTGTCCTGGCCAACATGGTGAAACCCCATCTCTACTAAAAATACAAAAAAATTAGCCTGGCGTGGTGGTGCATGCCTGTAGTTCCAGCTACCCAGGAGGTTGAGGCAGGAGAATTGCTTGAACCCAAGAGGTAGAGATTGCAGTGAGCCAAGATGGAGCCACAGCCCTATATCCTGGGTGACTCCGTCTCAAAAAAAGAAAGTTCCAAAGACCAGTTGACAGAACACGGGATGGCCACTGTTAGAACCCTGGCAGTTAGGGGTTTAGAGGTCAGGGTGGCCACTGTATAGAAGTCTAAGTGTCAGTTGTTAGAAACTGGCCATGAGCTCTCAGAACAATGACTGTTTGGAAACTGAGTGTCAGGTGTAAGAATCTGTGGATTGCTCAGAGTAGCAATCTGAGGGTGGTGGTTGGGGTGGGCAGCAGGAAAGGAGGCTATTTCAGAGATGGTAGTTTCTGCCTGGGTAGTTACAGGGGAGGTGGAAGGAAGGTATCAGACTCCAAATGTATTTTGAAAGTAAAATTGGCAGGATTTGCTAGAGAATTGGATGTGAGCCATTAGGGAAGAAGATAATAATCACTGATAATGACTAGTTTTTGGCTGGACAGACAAGGCAATAGGGGTACCCGTTATCAAAATGAGGAAGACTGGAGCAAGAGCAAGTTTGGGCAAAACAGGAATTCATTTTGAGCTAGGAGCAGTGGCCCATGCCTGTAATCCCAGCACTTTGGGAGGCCAAAGCAGGAAAATCACTTGAGCTCAGGAGTTCGAAACCAGCCTGTAGCAACCTAATGAGACCCTGTGTCTACAAGAAACTTAAAGTATTAGTCAGGTGCAGTGCCATGGTCCTAGCTATGTGGGAGGCCGATGTAGGAGGATCGCTTGGGTCTGGGAGGTGGAGCTGTGATCATGCCACTCACACTTAGCCTTGGTGACAGAGTGAGACCCTGTCTACACACACACACACACACACACACACACACACACACACACACAGAGTTCATTTTTGGACCTGTTAAGTTTGATGTGCTAACAGATGTTCCATGTGGAGGGGCAGGTAGGTAGCTGGAGAGAAGAGACAGGAGGCAAACTGATCATCAGCACATCAGTGGTGTGAAGCCCTGGGCCTGGATGAGAACAACTTTGGAGAAAGGATGGTCAGAAAAAGAAATTGAGGGTCGAGGTCTGGGCACTCTCATGCTTAGGCCTGGAGAGGAGGAGGAACCACCAATGAGGTGGCAGGAAAATCAGGAGCGTGGGGTGTTACAGAAGCCCAGAGAAGGAAAGCTGTTCGAGAAGGAGAGTCTGGCTGGGCAAGGTGACTCTCACTTATAATCCCAACATCTTGGGAGGCTGAATGGGAGGATCCCTTTAGGCTAGGAGTTCCACACTAACCTGGGCAACATAGTGAGACCCTGTCTCTACAAAAAAATTAAAAATTGGCTAGGGCTGGTGGCTCATACCTGTAATCTCAGCACTTTGGGAAGCTGAGGTGGGTGGATCACAAGGTCAGGAGTTCGAGACCAGCCTGGTCAATATGGTGAAACCCTGTCTCTAATAAAAATACGAAAATTAGCTGGGCATGGTGGAGCGTGCCTATAGTCTCAGCTACTCAGGAGGCTAAGGCAGGAGAATTGCTTGAACCAAGAGACAGAGGCTGCAGTAAGCCAAGATCACACCACTGCATTCCAGCCTGGGCGACAGAGCAAGACTCCATCTCAAAAAAAAAAAATTATCCAGTGTGATGGTGCATGCTTGTAGTCCTAGCTACTTGGGAGGCTGAGGATCACTTGAGCCCAAGAAGTCAAGACTGCAGTGAACTATGATCATGTCACTGCACTGCAGCCTGGGTGACCCTGTCTCTAAAAAAAGAGAGAAGGAGACAGAATAAAGGGGAACATAGTCAACCATGTTGAGGGCTACCAGGGGAAGTAAGACAATGCCAGAGATTTAGCAAGATGGATGTCACTGGTGACCACAGCAGGATGGCTCCGGTGGTGGGATTGGCACAGAAGCCTTGGCTGTTTATAATCCCAGTTTCTGGCTTCAGAGCCCTGGCTTTCCTGGTGAGTTGCTAGATGTGGTTTACTAGACAGCATTCTAATCCCCTGTTAGCTGTCACCAAGAAGTCAATCAAGGAAGACCAAAAGCAGTCTGTAGAGATACAGATGCTGGTACCTTGGAGAAACTGGGAGTGGAAGGGAAGATAGTCTGTTAAAAAGTTTGGCCTGAGGGAAAGAGAGGAGAGATAGTTGCTGGGAATGTGGGTGGGAGTGGACAGGTTTGGCTCAAGGAGTGTTGGAGTGCTGTAGGGAAGGACTGGTGAAAGGGAGCAGGTGACACTCTAGGAACAGACTGGGCTAGGACAAGAGCAGAAGGGACAAGAGGAACAGGCAAGGCAAACAGGATGTCCTGCATCCAATCAAATGGTCCAGGCCCAGCTGTTAATGAGAATAGCTGCCTAAGGGTTGGGCCAGCAGGGAGAAAAGGTGAGGTGACCGGAGAGCCCATACTCTGAAAATACCCCAAATGTCCACACAGTATAAGGCGCTGGGCTGGGTGCCAGGACTCAGATGAATTTACCTCCGTTCCTCCCCTTGGGAAATGCATGGTCACTTAGGGAGAAAAACAGCCAACTGAAATAATTCCAACCAGGATACTGTCAACAGCGGACAGGAGGTCGGGCACTGTGGCTCACATTTGTAATTCCAGCAGTTTGGAAGGCTGAGATGGGCAGATCACTTGAGGCCAGGAGTTCAAGACCAGCCTGGCCAACATGGTGAAACCCATCTCAGCTGGGCATGATGGTGCACACCTATAGTCCCAGCTACTTGGGAGATTGCAGCAGAAGAATCATTTGAACCTAGGAGGCAGAGGCTGCAGTGAGCCAAGATCGTGCCACTGCACTCCAGCCTGAGTGACAGAGCAAGACACTGTCTAAAAAAAAAAAAAAAAAAGGGGACAGGACGTCAGGAGGCACAGAAGAGGAAATGACCAGCAGAGAGTATACCACTTGAGCTTGGCTTGGCTTTAAACATGAATAGGAGTTTGCTGGGCAGAGCAGAAGGCATTTGCTCCAGAGGACTGAGGCCCAGGGACTTGGAGGTGGGAGGCAAAGGGCCACATGTATCTGCAACAAAGGGTGGCTGGGATGGAGATGGCTGGTTGGAAAGGAGGGTCTAGGTCCTCTGGGATTCTGAACTGTATCCTGAGGACAGTGGAGAGCCAGGGAAGATTTTTGTTGATTTGTTTGTTTTTATTGGTATTTAATAGTTATACATATTAAGGAAGATCTGAAGAAGAGGAGTGACATGAACCTCCAGAGTGTGGCCGAGGAGTGGTGGGAGTGTGGAGAGGCTTGGGTACTGTCCAGACCAGAGACGGTGATGGCCTTGACATCCCCCCAGAGATGGGAATGGAGGGGAGGGACCATATTCTAGAGCTGTTTGGGAGGCAGAAGGGAGACTGAGGGTAGAGCAGGGCATGAAAGACAGGGAGGTGTCCAGGGCAGGCAGGTTCCTGCCTTGACAGCACCAACAAGGTCTCCCACAGGAGCAGGAATCTCTCCCCAGGCATACCCACAGAGTGAGGTGCCAGGCAGGGAGGGGGATGGTTCTTGAGAGGACAACCTGCCTCGCAGTCCTGGGCCCTAGGGCTAGCGGAGGCCTCCCGGGCACGGACACGCACGCACATGCACACGCACAGACGCTGCCTGGATTTTGCTTTGGGTTCTGTCCCCTAACTGCGGACCCTGGGTTGAAACCCATCACCCGCGGCCGCCGCCGCCACTGCGCGGGGCCCACACGCACCTGGTGCCCGCAGGTGCCTGCAGGAGTCCTGGGGCCAGATGGCCTCCATATACATCAACACACGGAAACGGTACAAATTGCTGCGCTTCAGCGAGGACTGTCTGTACCTGAACGTGTACGCGCCAATGCGCGAGCCCGGGGACCCCCCGCTGCCGGTGAGTGCCAGGTCTCCCACGCCCGTGATCACACCGCCGCCCACCGCCCCGCCCAGCTCAGGACCCGGCCTTCCTTGTCCAGGTCATGGTCTGGTTCCCGGGAGGCGCCTTCGTCGTGGGCGCCGCGTCTTCGTACGAGGGCTCTTACTTGGCCGCCCGCGAGAAAGTGGTGCTGGTGTTTCTGCAGTACAGGCTCGGTGTCTTCGGTTTCCTGAGGTGGTGGGGCAGGGACCCTCTGGGACCGCAGCTCGGGGCGGAAAGGCGAGGACTGGGTGGGAAGGGAGGACCGGGCTGAGGCGGGGCCGGCGCTCCGTACTGTGCATGGAGCGAGCTAACTCCAAGGAAGTGGGTGTGGTCGCAGGACTGGGTTTTAGAGGGGCAAGGCTGGGCTGGGTTGCGGGGAGCCCAGGAAGGCAGCCCTACGCACCCCGACTCTCGAGGCCCGGGACCCTGACAGTGAACCCTGCACGCCCAGCACGGACGACAGCCATGCGCGCGGGAACTGGGGGCTGCTGGACCAGATGGCGGCTCTGCGGTGGGTGCAGGAGAACATCGCGGCCTTCGGGGGAGACCCAGGAAATGTGACGCTGTTCGGCCAGTCGGCGGGAGCCATGTGCATCTCAGGACTGGTGAGAGCAATGCCCAGACGGATTCAGCACAGACTTAGGCTCCTCCGTTCCCACAAACCTATCCTCCACTGAACAGGTCGTGTGCAGATTTGCGTGTATATCAACATGCCTGTCACAGACCTGCCCTCACCCCTGCCAAAGGGACCGCCCCTCACAGCCAAGGATGTCTCCTCTGTTCAGCCATATCACTGATGAGAAAACCAAGCCCCAGGAAGGGGAGTGCTGAGGCTTGGGGTAATCAGCAAATCCAGGTGCTGGGCAGCACCTCCTGCCTCTCCGCATTCCCCCAGAACTCTATCCCCTGAACAGAGCCCACCATCTGCCCACTGGGCAAGGCCAGGACCTCACACCAGGCCTAGGAGCCAGGGACATGAGTTGGACACAGGGCTTTGTCCCTGACTCCTGTGTGACTGCTGACCTGGGATGTGCCTGGAATGTGGGTGTAATGTAAGGTGTCCTGTGAGGGGCACATGGCTGGGAAGTGAACACATCACACAGGGCCTTGCTGGCCAGTCATAATACTCAACACTTGTGCACTTCCTGTGTGCCAGGCACTCTCCTAAGCACCTAATGTGTCATCATCCATGTAACTCCTTCACCAGTCCAAAAAGAAAAGTGCTGTTGTCTCCATTCTACAGATAAAGAAATGAAGGCCCAGAGAATTAAGCAACTTTATCCAAACTTCACTAAAAAGCAAGGAAAGTTGTTTTTTTTTTTTTTTTTTTTTTGAGACAGTTTTTTTGAGCAACTCTTGTTGCTCAGGCTGGACTGCAATGGCGCTTCGGCTCACTGCAACCTCTGCCTCATGGGTTCAAGTAATTTTTCAAAGCAGGGAAAGATTTTAAGCAGCAAAGTGACACTATCAGATATCCATTTAGAGATGTCTCAGCCTGCTGCATGGGACTGGGTTGGCAAGAAACAGGAAAAGAGACTTGGAGAGCTACTGAGAGGGGCAGGGATGAGGATAGAGTATATCCCAGGAGAGACCATGAGGGCTAGCTCTAAAGCAGGGGCAGGAAAGATGGAGAGTACAGGATGACTCATCATGATGCAGGAGGCCATATGGACAGAACTAGGGCAGCTCGGGTGTGGGAATAAGCAGAGATAGGGAAGGCCCCTGGGGCTGAGGGATGATGTGGGGTAAGGGATGCCACCCAAACAGGGATTGGCTGGAGAAGGTTTGGGGAACATGAAGTGTGAGGTATCCAAGGGACAGGATGGGAGGCCCTAGATGTATTTGTTCCCCAAACTTGGACAATGGAGAGAGGCTAAGAGCTGTCAGCATAGGTAACAAGTTGGGGAAACCATGAGGTCCCTTCCACCTACCCCTCATTTCTAGCCCCAAAGCAGAGGGGGACACCTTTCCCACACCAGCAGATTTCCACCCACAATCTCACATCCCCTCTGGACCCTGCTGGGGCCCACTGCACAGACCAGAGGCAGAGAGAACACTGGCTTTAGGTCTAGGACATCACCCTAGGACTCTTGACTCCCTCCCAGATGCTTGCCCTTCCTGGCTTCACTCAGGCTGCCTGCCCATGGCCAGATGCCCAGAACAGCTCAGGTGTCCCTACTTGGGGATCTCATGGGTGGCTTCCTCCCTATCCTTGCAGATGATGTCACCCCTAGCCTCAGGTCTCTTCCATCGGGCCATTACCCAGAGTGGTACTGCGTTATTCAAACTTTTCATCACTCCTAACCCACTGAAAGTGGCCAAGGTGGGTGCCTTTCCTTCCCCAGGGCTCAGCGATGAGGGGCAGGATGGAAGCACCCCTGAGTATCCCTTCTTCTCTCTCTAGAAGGTTGCCCACCTGGCTGGATGCAACTGCAACAGCACACAAATCCTGGTCAACTGCCTAAGGGCACTATCAGCGGCCAAGGTCATGCGTGTGTCCGAGAAGATGGTAGGTAGAACATTTCAGCTGCCTGACCTGGATCCCTGAAGGCCATCCTCCTATCCTTTTACCCAGCCACCTCCACCTACTTCCCCAGGGACCCTATCTCAAGAGCACACTGGGGAGACTTCCTTTAACTCTGATCCCTTCCTCTCCCCCACAGAGATTCTTCCAGTTGAATTTCCAGAGAGACCCTGAAGAGGTAATCAGGCCACATTCTGCAATTTGAGTATTTATTGAACACCTACTATGTGCCAGGCACTTGGGATACTTAGGAAATTGTTCAGGCCAAGATCCCTTCCCTAGTGGAGCTGATGTTCCAGTAGGGAAGGACAATAAACTCTATAAATAAATACATTATCCACCTCCTTAGAAGGTAATAAGTGAATAGCAAGGAATGGAGAGGGTAAAGGGGGGTTGGACATGTTGGGAGGTGCGGGCTCTTAAATAGAATGGATGGGGGATAGGGCAGGACTCACTGAAGGGACTCGCTGAAGTGACACTTAGCAGATTTTTAAGAGTTGAAGAAGTGAGCTATATAGATACCAGCAGTAATCATCCCAAGTTCACGTAGTTTGGTCCTGCCTATCCTGCTCCCCTCCCACCTTCATCTTCCTGGGGCTCACCATGCCAGCCCCAGCATTTTCCCAAAGAGCCTAGGCTAGAGCAGCCTCTGAAGGGGTACCCATGGTTGCAGGGACCCTGGGAGGATACTCGAGAAGACTGCCTGGAAATGCCCTTTGCCTTGTAGACTATCTGGCTCATGAGCCCTGTGGTGGATGGTGTGGTGTTGCCAGATGACCCTTTGGTGCTCCTGACCCAGGGGCAGATTTCATCTGTGCCCTACCTTCTGGGTATCAACAACCTGGAGTTCAGTTGGCTCGTGCCTTATGTAAGTGAGTGGGAGTTCAATTGGCTCTTGCCTTACATGAGTACCACAGTGGAGGCAGGGAAGGATGCCTCTTGGATGGTGCTGGGCACCAGGTCAGATGTCAGTAGCCCCTCTGGGGATGCCCATATGCTTGGGAGCCTCCTATAGTCCCTGAACAGTGAGAACCGGCCAGGAATGATGGAGGGGAAGAAGGGAGAAGTGTGGCCTGTTGGAGGTTTGAGGGCCCCAAATTCATGGGTTATGATGCTCATTCCCAAGCCGCTAGGCAACTGCAAATCCTGAAGCCCACCCTTGCTCCTGGGTCAGGGTAGATGCCCCAACTCAGGATGGACTGCTGCTCAGTACCACTTCAGCTCTGGCCCAGGTGGAAGTGATGGGTGGGATGGGAGGAGGGGGGCAAGAGAGAGTCACGGGCCCTTCCTAGGCTGTGTGCTCTGAGAACTCATCATTAGATGGGCAAGACCCTTGGGGCCTTTGTGGCTCCGGCCAAAATCCCTCCTAATGCCCAGGCCTAACCCATACCGGGTCCTTGTCTTGTGAACAGATCATGAAGTTCCCGCTAAACCGGCAGGTGATGAGAAAGGAAACCATCGCCAGGATGCTGTGGAGTACCCGCACCCTGTTGGTGAGGAGCCCAGCTCACAGGGATGCTCAGTTTGGACAGGGCTGACCCCCGCTTTTTTAACCTAGTAGCTGCTCTTTGCAAAGGGGCTCGCAGCCAGGGTAAGGATCTTTCTCAGAGGGCCTGGGGTTTGGTGTGGGATCAGATGGCTGCTTATAGGTAAGGACCCCAGACATGCTCTGGGTCATAGGGGCAGTTATGTAGCAAAATCAGTGGTTACAATAAGCAGAGATGGAAACTTTCCCAGGAAGCTCCCCTTTTTCACCCTCCCAGGCCAAAAACTCCTGGGGGGCTGAGCCTGGATCCAAGTCACTGGTGGGCCCACCTCTGGCCCAGCTGGCACCCAGGCCTCAATAGGTATGGCCTCCCCACCCAGAATATCACCAAGGAGCAGATACCACTTGTGGTGGAGGAGTACATGGACAACACCAATGAGCATGATTGGAAGATGCTACGAAACCGTATGATGGACATAGTTGAAGATGCCGCTTTCATGTATGCCACGCTGAAGACTGCCCACTACCACCGAGGTATGCAGGGTCCCCAAGAGTAGCCACAGTGGCCCCATCCACTCTCTAGCTGTACTGTTTACCAACAGGGCTTATCAATGGCTCCCCTACTCTCTCTGTACTTTTGGGCTAGTATAGAATTCTAAGATAACAGAGAGGAGGCAGCATGCTATCAACTATAAGAGGGGAAGGGCCCAGGCATGGTGGCTCACACCTGTAATCCCAGAACTTTTGGAGGCCAGGGCAGGCAGATCATTTGAGGTCAGGAGTTCTAGACCAGCCTCACCAACATGATAAAACCCCATCTCTACTAAAAATACAAAAAAATTAGCCAGATGTTGTGGCCCATGCCTGTACTATAGCATGTCCCAGCTACTTGGGAGGCTGAGGCAGGAGAATCACTTAAACCGGGGAGACAGAGGTTGCAGTGAGTTGAGATCACGCCACTGCACTCCAGCCTGGTCAACAGAGCAAGACTCCATCTCAAAAAAAATATATAGATAGATAGATAGATTTATATATGTATACATATTTAAATATATACATATATATTTATATGTGAGGAAGCACTTTTCCTTAGGAAGAAGAGCAGGAAATCAGGCGATCCAGAGGAGCAGCCTGGGGTGGTCAGAGAAGGCTTCTGGCTGAGAGGAAAAGCTCAGGGGCACCTTGAAAACCCAGGCTGACTAGGGCTTGGGGAACATGTGGGTGACAGGTTAAAGGTGGGGTTGGAGAATGCAGACACTGAAGACCCTTCAATATGAGGCCAAGAAAGGTTCAGAACAGGGAAGAGGAAAGGCTTCCATGATTCTGGCCACAATCCTGTGAATTAGCTTTTAGTACTCTCAGTCTGCAGATAAGGAATTATTGACACAATTCAGAGAGGTGGAGCGGCTTGCTCTAGGTCACACAGCAAATGAGTAGTACAGATAGGATTCAAGTCTGCCCGCTTGATTCTGAAGCCAAAGCTCTTTTCCCTGCTTGATGTAGGTGAGCGGGACACACGGGGTGGATGGGAAGCCTAAGGTGAGGCTTTTTCTGCAGCCCTCCTCAGTTTCCCACTTCACAGATGCCGGCCTCCCTGTCTACCTGTATGAATTTGAGCGCTACGCTTGTGGAATGATCGTCAAACCCCGCACTGATGGGGCGGACCATGGGGATGAGATGTACTTCCTCTTCGGGGGCCCCTTCGCCACAGGTGCAAAGGCCCCATCTGATACCCCCACCGGATGTCCAGTCCCCTACCTCTTTGTGCAGACCCGCCCCTCCATCAGCTGGCCACAGGGAGCTCCCCAGTTCCTAATCTGGGATGCTCTCCCAAATGAAAGTCTTCTGCTCCGGAGGCAGCAGCAGCAGCAGCAGGAGTAGGGTGGGATGTCAGCATCCCCTGCTCTGTCCAAAATGCCACATCCTATTCTGCCCCAGGTCTTTCCACGGGTAAGGAGAAGGCGCTTAGCCTCCGGATGATGAAATACTGGGCCAACTTTGCCCGCACAGGGTGAGTCTGCCCCCTGACATATCTGGGCATTCTACCTGCCCAGTGCTGGACCTGATGGCCAGCTGCTTCGGATATTTGCCCCAGCATGTCCTACAGAAACTGCCCCCAGGCTGGACAGGAACTGACTGCCTAGTCAGCCCCACCAGGGTGACTCTTCCTCCTCAGCTTTCCCCAGTCATTCACCAGATCCTAAATATTCCTAGAATGTGTCCTTCTTGATCCATGACCCACACTTTTCATTCACTCAAGCATTCCACGGTCATTCCCCACTGCTCTTTTTTGGGCCCAGTCCCAGTACTGGGAGCTGGAATTCAAGGATGTTGCAGACATGAGCCCCATCCTCCAACAGCTCACCACATAAAATCAGGAAGTTATAGCTGGCACACTGAGAGCTGTACTGGGGGAGCACAAGTCACTTTGAGAGCATAGAGGAGGTGTCTGGGCCAGCCTCAGGGGTAGGCGACATGTAAGGGGGGCTTTGGCTAGCTTTGTGACTATTTTCTTAGAATCTCACTCTGTTACCTCAGGCTGGAGTGCAGTGGCATGATCCTGGCTCACTGCAACCTCCGCCTCCCAGGTTCAAGCAATTCTCTGGCCTCAGCCTCCTGAGTAGCTGGAGTTACAGGCCCCTACCACCACGCCCAGCTAATTTTTGTATTTTCATAGAGACAGTGTTTTACTGTGTTGGCCAGGCTGGTCTCAAACTCCTGACCTCAAGCAATCCACCCGCCTCAGCCTCCCAAAGTGCTGGGATTACAGGCGTGAGCCACCACACCTGGCCTCTCCTTTCAATCCTTCCTCCTTATGACACTCAAAGTGTCCTTTATCTATTTTTTTAAATTAATTAATTATTTATCTTTAAGACAGAGTCTTGCTCTGTTGCCTGGCCTGGAGTGCAATGACACAACCTCAGCTCACTGCAACCTCCACCTCCTAGATTCAAGCGATTTTCCTGCCTCGGCCTCCTGAGTAGCTGGGACTACAGGCAAGGTGCTTGAGCTAATATTTGTATTTTTAGTAGAGACGGGGTTTCACCATGTTGGCAAAAATGGTCTCGATCTCTTGACCCTGTGATCTGCCCACCTAAGCCTCCCAAAGTGTTGGGATTACAGGTGTGAGCCACTGCAACTGGCCACCTTGGTCTTTTATATCTCTCAACCTGGCACATACTGTTTGCTCTGCCTGGAAGGCCCACCCCATTACACACTTTCCTACTCTTTCTTAAAGATTTAAGTATCATCTCCATAAAGCCCTCTGGAACCCCAACTCCCAAGGGCAAATTAAAGGAGGGAAGGCTGAGAGAAAGAAGCAGCATGAAGAGGAACAGAGATAATCCTCCCTTTTTCCCTTCTGGGCAGAAACCCCAATGATGGGAATCTGCCCTGCTGGCCACGCTACGACAAGGATGAAAAGTACCTGCAGCTGGATTTTACCACGAGCGTGGGAAAGAAGCTCAAGGAGAAGAAGATGGCTTTTTGGATGAGTCTGTACCAGTCTCAAAGATCTGAGAAGCAGAGGCAATTCTGAGGGTGGCTATGCAGGAAGGAGCCAAAGAAGCATTTGCCCCACCACCCAGGCCCTGGGGAGACTGGCCATGGACATACCTAGGACAAGAGTTCTGCCCATCCCAATTTAGAACGTTGCCTCCCTGCTGCCTCCAGGCCAGAGCAAGAGCTTTTGCCTGTTATGTGGGGCCTGTACCACCCTCTCCAGCCTGACATCCCATGATGCCCCTACCTCACTGTTGACATCCGGTTAGGCCAGGCCCTGTCAACAACATGCTGTGCCCAACTCTCCAGCCTCAGACAACCTCTTTTTTCCCTTCTTCAAATCCTCCCACCATTCAGTGTCTCCTTGTAGCTCCTTCTTATGGGGGGTCAACCCAGACTGCCACTGCCCCTGTCCCTGCACCCAGCTTGGCATTTACCGTCCATCCTGCTCAACCTCATGCCTGCCTGTTCACATTGGCCTGGAGGCCTTGGGCAAGTTATCTGTGACATGGAGCAAACTTTTGAGAGTTTGAGATCTTCTCTCCCACCCACACTTATCTCCCCCAGGACTACTCCAAAGTCTATACACAGGGATGGTCTCAATAAAGAAGTGTTGATTTGACCTCAATGTCTATGGTATCTCAATCTGAGCCCTGGGAGAAAGGGAGAATTGCTGCCTGTTTCTTAGTGGGCTGTGCCTGGATGCTACGCTCAGTCAAGGGGTGTTACTGCAAAGTTGCCTAGGGTACAAAACACTTGGTCTCGAGTACATCCCTGAGGACAGCAGGACAGCCACACCCCACACTCACTTGTCCATCAGTTTAGGTCTTAGTGCTGCATCCAGATTCCTCTGGCCTCTCCTGCAGCCCACGTATATCTCAGCCTGTCCCAGTTTTTGTTTTGTTGTTTTGTGGGGGTTTTTTTCTTTTTTTTTGAAATGGAGTCTCACTCTGTCGCCCAGGCTGCCGTGTAGTGCCACGATCTCAGCTCACTGCAACTTCCACCTCCCAGGTTCAAGCAATTCTCCTGCCTCAGCCTCCGAGTAGCTAGGATTACAGGTACCTGCCAACAGGCCCAACTAATTTTTGTATTTTTAGTAGAAATGGGGTTTCACCATGTTGGTCAGGCTGGTCTTGATCTCCTGACCTCATGATCTGCCCACCTCGGCCTCCTAAAGTGCTGGAAATACAGGCATGAGCCACCGTGCCTTTTTTTTTTTTTTTTTTTGAGATGGAGTTTTACTCTTGTCACCCAGGCTGAAGTGCAATGACACAATCTTGGCTCACAGCAACCTCTGCTTCCCAAGTTCAAGCAATTCTCCACCTCAGCCTCTCGAGTAGCTGGGATTACAGTTGCCCACCACCATTCCCAGCTAATTTTTGCATTTTTAGTAGAGATGGGGTTTCACCATGTTGGCCAGGCTGGTCTCGAACTCCTGACCTCAGGTGATCTGCCCATCTCAGCCTCTCAAAGTGCTGGGATTACAGGGGTGAGCAACCATGCCTGGCCATTGTGAGCTTTTCGGTGGTAAAACATACGTAACAAGTTTTACTATTTTAACTATATTTAAATGTACAGTTCAATAACATTTAGTACATCCACATCATTGCACAACCATCACCACTGTTCTATCTTTAGAACTTTTTCATCACTTAAACTGAAACTCTATACCCATTCAACAATGACTCCCTGTTACCCGCTCTTCCTAGCCCCTGGGAACTCCTATTCTACTTTCTGTCTCTATGAACTTGACTCTTCCAGGTACCTGATATAAGTAGAGTAATACAGTATTTGTCCTTTTGTGTCTGGCTTATTTCACTTAACATGATGTCTTCAAGGTTCATCATGCTGTAGCATGTATCAGAATTTCCTTCTGTTTTAAGGTTGGATAACATTTCATTGCAGGTATATACCACATTTTGTTTATCCATTCATCCATTGATGGGTATTTGGGTTCTTTCCGCCTTTAGGCTATTGTGAATAATGCTGCTATGAACACTGGCATAGTGTCCCGCAGTATTTTCGTCCCAAACTAGTGTGGATTAGGCCCTTTATTCTCAGAGGTTCCTGAGTCTCTGGGGCAAATGGAAGTTGCATAGATCTGTAGGATGAGGCACACCTATCCCCCACACCCCAGCATCTAACCTCCAAAGCAAAGGAATGGTGGAGGAGGAGGGAAGCCCCTTTCAAGCAAACATTAATCCTCACTACCATGGATCTTCTTATCCCCATTTTACAGATGAAGAAACTGATGTATTGAGACATTAAAAAGCCTTGCCCAAGGTCATGAGCTAGTGAGGGCAGAGCAGGAATTGGATCCAGGCCTGTCTGAGGCACCCTGCCACCTCCATCCAGACCTGGGCAATCTATGAAGGAGGATGGCTACCACAGGAGATGTGGCAGCTCTAGTCTCAGGAAGCACAGCCAGAGGATGTCCCAGGCAACCAAATAGCCACTCATCGGTAAGGAGCCAGAGTGGGGGCTGCTAGTTCAGCTCCCAGAAGGTGGTCCTAGGGCAGCCAGTGCAGAACTCAACAGCGGCTCAGCTCCAACTGGGCCTGATTTCACTCCAGTGTCCACAAGGGACATCCTGACCTGAAAGTCTTTGGGTACTCCCCCTGTGGCCTGCTGGCACAGCCCAGGAGCTAGCCCAGGCCTTCTTCTGATGGTTCCTCCTGCTTTCTCCCCTGACAAAGATTCTATCCTTGACCAAACTCTACTCAGACTTCCCTAAACTTTTTCATCTAGGCCTGACTCTTTAGCAAGATTCCTGCTAAGTCATTTTAACCAGAGCCCCCCACCCTCCATATCCGATCACCTTCCATAATCTAATTAAGTTCCTTAGACTGGGCTGGGCGAGGTGACTCATGCCTGTAATCCCAGCACTTTGAGGGGCCGAGAAAGGCAAATCACTTGAGCTCAGGAGCTCAAGACCAGCCTGGCCAACATGGTGAAACTCCATTCTACTAAAAATACAGCAATTAGCCAGGTGTAGTGGTGGGCACTCAGCTACTTGAGAGGCTGAGGCAGGAGAATCACTTGAAGTCGGGAGGTGGAGGTTGCAGTGAGCTGAAATCGTGCCACTGCACTCCAGCCTGGGTGGCAGAGCAAGACTCCGCCTGAAAAAAAAGTTCCCGGTCGGGCACAGTGGCTCAAGCCTGTAATCCCAGCACTTTGGGAGGCCGAGGCAGGTGGATCACGAGGTCAACAAATCGAGAACATCCCGGTCAACATGGTGAAACCCCGTCTCTACTAAAAATACAAAAATATTAGCTGAGCATGGTGGCACGTGCCTGTAATTCCAGCTACTCAGGAGGCTGAGGCAGGAGAATTGCCTGAACCCAGGAGACGGAGGTTGCGGTGAGCCAAGATCGCACCATTGCACTCCAGCCTGGGTAACAAGAGCGAAACTCCGTCTCAAAAAAAAAAAAAGTTCCCTAGCCTCCATTATCCCCCAGGTGATGTCTGGTCACCCTGGCCTGCCTGTGCAAGAATCCTATTGGATGGGCTTAGCCAGATCCCCCTTATCTCTGATGTTTCCTCTTAGTAATTTTCCATCCACTGACCCAGCCTTGCTCCTTGGCTATAAATTCTCACTTGTCCACGCTGTATTCAGAGTTGAGCCCAGTCTCGCTCCCCAACTGCTTGACTGCAAAACCCCACTGTGGCCATCTCTATGCCTATTTCTTTTTCTTTTTTCTTTCTTTCTTTTGAGGCAGGGTCTCCTCTGTTGTCCAGGCTGAAGTGCAGTAGTGCAATCACAGCTCACTGCAGCCTCAAACTCCTGGGCTCAAGCAATCCTCTCACGTCAGCCTCCTGAATAGGTGGGACCACAGGCTGGCACCACCCACCTAGGCTAATTTTTTTTTTTTTTTTTTTAATTTTTGGGCCTGACGTGGTGGCTCATGCCTGTAATCCCAGCACTTTGGGAGGCTGAGGCAGGAGAACTGCTCAAGCCCAAGAGTTTGAGACCAACCTGGGCAACAATGCAAGACCCCATCTCTACAAAAAATATTAATTAAAAAAAATAGCTAGGTATGATGGCACTTTCCTGTAGTCCCAGCTACTCAAGAGGCTGAGGTGGGAGAATCGCTTGAGCCCAGAAGGCTAAGGCTTCAGTGAGCTATGATCACACTACTGCACTCCAGCCTGGGTGACAGAGTGAGAGAACCTCTCTACCGCCTTGGCCTCCGAAAGTGCTGGAATTATGTGTGAGCTACTGGCTCGTCCCCTATGCCTATTTCAATGGTCCTGAATAAAGTCTGCTTTACTGAGCTTTAACAAGGATCATGAACGGTTTTTCTTGGACGCCCCTCCCCACGCGGTCTCACAAGGGTCTAGGGGGAGGGTAGCTGCTTCTAACAGTCACCTGCTCAGGGCCCTCCTCCCCCAGTTAGAGAAAGTGCAGCTGAGCAGGAGCCAGGGTTAGTCGGGTCCTGGCTGTGGCAGATGTGAGAATCATAAAGAGCTCTGAGGGAACCCCAGGACCCTCCTAGGAATCCGAGCCTGAGAGAACCCCAGTGGGCAGTCTGAATGCTGGGCTGGCCCCTGCCTCCCACAGTCCCGGCTCCACACCCTCCCCATTCACCCAGGAAGGTGTCCCTCTTCCGGTCAGCTCCTCCTTGGATTGCACTGCTGGATGATGCAGGCGGGAGGTCCCACCTTGTCTTCCTGTCCCCACTCAGGTCCTCCCACGGCCAGCCGGAGTCGCTCCTGAATCTGTTGCCAGGCCCCATCCCACGTGGATCGGTGCGCAGAACAGACTGGATCTTGGTGAAAGCCTGAGGACACTTCTGAGTCTTGCTCCTAGCCGCCCTGACCGCCCCCTGGGTTTCACCCGCCCGCTTGCCCGCGCCATCGCAGGGACGAAGGAGCGCGGTCTCTACGCTAGCGCGGGCACAGGACTCACACGTGCCCCCTGCCGGGCCGGGCCGCCCACCTCGGGCTGAGCAGAGCTCCCAGCTCCGGAAGCAGCTCCCCAGTGTCTACCCCGCCACGCCCCCACCTTCCACCGGCGAAGCAGCAATTACTGGTCCAGGCGGCTGGGAAAGGGCCAATTAGCGCAGGAGACTCGGCCCCTCTGCGGGGCCCCTGCTGACCGCAGCCGTCGCAGCGCTGCCTCCGCCGTGGGTCCCCAGCCTCCCGCCTCCCGCCGCCCATCCGCCCACCCGCCGCGGCCCTCCCGGCCTGGCCGACAGCGCCGGCTTCCTGGGAGCCCCGGGGGACGCTCCGTCCGGCCTCCCGCCAACTGCAGTCACGGATCCAACCGCCTGGCGCCGGCCCAGAGCCGCGGCGGACGTGCGCATGCCGGGAGCTGAATCTCGCCGCTGCTCAATCTAGCGGGCTGCGCCCCCGACCGCCTGCGCCTCGGCACGGGCCAGCAGTCTCCAGGCGGGGGCGGCTCGGTCCAAACCCTCTTGCCTTCTCAAGGCCCTCCTCGCTTCTTCCAACCTCCAAGGCTCGGTTCTGGAATGGCCGACCTGGAGCAGTTCCTTGCTGGTGGCTTCGGCAGGGCCACGCTTTGGAAACCCACCCCCGGTGCTGGATCGTGCCCCGCGACAGGGACATGGGTATGGTGGCGGGTGGGCAACACGGGGACACAAGCACTTACTACTGACA